GATCCTGTAAAAAGTAACATAAACTCCAAATGTCTGGCCAGGTAGTGATTTAGCTGGGGTGATGATGATGCGGCACTGCTTTATTTCGAAGTGGAGCAACACAAACGATTTATCATTGAATTGACGAAACAAAACTTGTGGAAGCAGTCAAAACAGCGTGACAATGATCTGTTGGGGTGTTGTGACAAGACCAGAAGTTAAGAATCGCACCCTTACGTGCGATAAAACCAGGGTGTCCTTTCGCTAGGATTATCCATAGATCAGCATTACAATTCTGATGACAAATGGGAATAGAAACATCCTAGGACGATCCACAAATTATGACGAAACCTATGTCAAAACTGTTTCTTCAGGGCTAAGTAAACAATCAACGGGTGCAATAACTAAAGTAGACGATTATCGAACGATTGGTGCAGTCTACGACCATTGATAATTTTTCCCATGCCATCTCAGACTCAAAAGTTTCAGGTCAACATTGACTCTTCTCACATGATTAAATGATTACATGAAAGAAGGACCACAGATCTACAAGTCAAAATCATAGAGGCATTCGTTCAAATCAAAGACGGTATCCCGAACTTCGTAAAGTAAAATTTTATAACTCACAAACTGAGCACTCGGAACTCAGATCTGCGGGCGTGGAAAAGTAGGAGCAAAAACCCACCTCTACATAAGGGTTGGCGACGTTCAGTGATCTAAGTTGACAGTTTAGAACGAGAAGTTGATCCTGAGGACTCATCCAGGCCCCGAAACGCGGATCAAAGGACGCCTTGTCAGGCTGTTCTGCCTCAATGCGGGCAAAGAGGATGTCGGACAATCGGGACGGATCAAGTGGCGAAGGAGGAGAGAATTGTGCAAAAAGCGGATGTTGCGGATGAAGCTGTTGCATGGGAGGTAGGAAAGATACTTTCGGAGGCATCGGAAAGGGCTTTTGAAGGTGGACAGAGGAGGTCAGGTGAGGTAAGGAGGAAAAAAGTGGTGGAGGAGGAGCTGCAAAGCGTGAGTAAGACGTCGATGGGCCCGAAGGAACCATGAAGAACCCATTTCTAGACGGCGTTGGCTGAACTTTCTGCAGAGACGTTGTAACAGGCATGTTGCTGGAGGAGGCAGACAAAAATGTAACCAAATTGTTGAAAAAAAAAACTCATTCAAGGGACTACACACTGACAAAAAATGATGCTGAGGAGAAACAACGCCTTTAGTTGCGTGTAAGAGTTTCTGGAGCTGTTCCGACGGAGGCGTTGCCATTCCCAGGAGTGGCCGTACCTGATAAGGCGGGTGCGACTTCATGGTAGCATGTGGAGCTCCAAGATCGGGTTGCTATCAATAGATATAGGCACTCAATTATGAGGACCAAAGAGAACCTTAGCTTTTAATAACTCAGCATACCACTTCCTTTTTGTTGCATCCAAAACAACCGGAGAGACTATTAACATCCGATGATTTGTCAACAGGTGGTTCCATAGTTTGGCCCTGAATTACTTTCCGGTCGCCAGACACAGCAAGGTCTGAGCTCAGCTGTTGAGACAGCAAGTCCAAAAATGGATCAAATCTGGAAGAACCATGATTACTGCCGGCATTATGAGGTAATCCCGTCCCCCAAATATCATTTGGATTGATGATTGGAGCAACTGGAATCGCTTGCTGAGTCGAAGCTCCCGGACCATATTTCGAGACATTCAAAATAGCGGGATCTTCCAGCTCATCTTCACGGACAAGCTTGTCCACAGACTCCTCAAAGTTCAAAACCTAACAAGGACAATGAATTTCGGAAATAGATTTACTGAATCATAGGATTGGGAGACATCCAGATCCCCAGCTGACCAAAAATCCGAAAGGTCTGCTGTTTCCCAGATCTTTGGAATTTCG